ACAAACCACTGGGTTGGATCTCTAGCACACCTGGCCGCTCACTTTGAAGCACAACAGACTGCAAGCTAGGATGTCCAGAAAGATGTGCTGGTCTGAAAGTAGTTGTGAGGGGGCTAGGGAAGTTTAAATCTGCAGGAATCGGGTCACTAGGCAAAACAGGCTTGATAACCTGAGCTGCGTTTGGAAGACTGTGTGTAGATGGAGAGTGATGCCTCCGCTTGTAACCATGCTGTGGTAGTTCATGGCATGAATAAAGTTTGGAGCCAATCTGATGAATCCCATGGGACTGCACTGGCTTGAAAAGGGTTTGCCCATTTTGGTTGACAACATACTCATAGTTGGACTGTCCTGCTTGCAGATGGCTTGGTTGGCCTACAGATGAGCTGACCTGTGCTGGCTGTTGGACACCCAACTGAGCCACCAACTGGTAGCTAGCTGGTGCTGGTTGTTGGGAAGCAGGCTGGGTCTCTGACTGATAGATGGCTCCTACTAATTGTGGCACAGTGGGCTGGCTAGCAGACTGGTAGATTATTTGTGCTGGTTGTTGAACAAATTGAGGTCCAGACTGGTAGATGGTTTGTACTGGTTTTAGGCTACTGGACTGATCTACAGAAGTAAATGTTAGTGTCTGGAGAGGACTAGTACTGGAAAGTTTAGACCCAAAGTGGGGTTTACCTTTGTGATGCTTGAGAGGAGTCGGTCCACCTGGCTGAGCCACAAAAACATAACTTCCATCTACGGGCTGAACATTATTTGACTGGGAAACCAATCGACCTTCTTGTAAAAGCTGCTGGCTGGAGACCTGGGCCACAGAGTAATCAACTGCCTGTTGAATTAGCTGGCTACTGGGCTGGACCACAGAGACGTCAATGACACTGGGAGTTTGTATGATGCCTGGTTGATTCACAGTTTGGCCACTGGACTGGGCTGATTGCTGGCTGCCTGACTGGCTCACAAGTTCATAGCTAGCCATAGCTAGGCTATCTGGCACACCACCATATTGTAATATTGAGAGGCTGGGATGTGAGGCTTTAGAAGGTTTTGAGCTGATTGGTGCATTGTGAGCTGGCCTTGAACCAGTTTTATGGTGGTGTTTACCTTTCAGAGGTTTAAGGGGCCATCTACCAGATGGCACTGCAGACTGGAAGCTAGTCTGAAAAATCTGTTTGCCACTGGGCAGGGATAACTGCAGAGGGTTAGACTGGGCTATGGCTCCAGAACTTGTTGGTTGCTCACTGCTGGACTGGGAAATGGTCTGCACCAACTGTTGGCTGCTGGGTTTCACCACAGACGTACTGCTAATGTGAAGTGGAATTGAGGAAACTACCTGCACTGGGTTAGAAACCGAATAACTGCTTTGCTGCAATGGGCTCAGGACAGAAGAACTGGTTACTTCAGAGCCTTGGACAGTAGTTGACAGACTTGAATCATATCCAGACATGCCCATATTCACTGCATTTCCCACAGAACCATAAACAAGACTACCAGTTCCAACTGAATTAACATGAAATCCTTGTTTGCTTCCAGTATAAGAATCGGAGCCTGGTTTTTCACTTGTCATGGGTGTGCCTGAAGAGCCAGCCTGAGAGCTGTAGCTTCCGGTCTCAAATCCCCATTTATCTTTGCTGACTGGTCCAGCTACAACATTTCCACCATAAAAGTCAAGGACACTTTGTTTCACCTCCTGCATGGACTGGCTAGGATTATTAGATCCAAAATGGCCTCCACTGCTGCCAGGGCTGTATGCATAAACTACAAAAAAAAAACCAATTAACAAAACCTAATTTAGTAAAAGAACACTTGAATAATAATAATAATAATAATAATAATAATAATAATAATAATAATAATAAACCAATAACCTACCAGTTGCAATATCATTGTAGTCACATGCACCAAGGGCTAAAAGTACTGCTAAAGAGTAACTGCAAGAGATGAGCAGTCATTTTAATTACAAGGTAAATGGTAAAACACACAATTAAAAACACAAGAAAAACAACATACCTTAAAATCCACATTCTTGAAACACACATAGTAAACCAAGTCAAAACAACCATCCAATTCCCTCAGCACAGAAGCTACTAACTTAAAGAAAAGCTTCACCAAACAATACAGTGCTACTTTTGATCTGGCCTTTTTATAGTGTGCAACTACCAGTCAGTTGGCTAGAAAATTGCCTCAGACCAATCGGTTGTCACAGAAATGTCTAATGGATCATCATTAGTTTCAGGTGTCAGTTGTTGCACGTTATTTTCATGGTATGTAATTTCATTAATACATTTATACAAACTAATAAGCTTTTTATGTCTTGGAAAAGAGATAAACATATTCTTAAATGAAAACGTATACTTTCTTGATTTAAAAAAAGTAAAAGAAAAACAAAGTATTTCACATAATAAATATATATATTTCTGGTTAACTGAATATCAGCAAAAGTCTGCAATTGGCCAATTTACTTAAAATGTGTGTAGTTATATTCAAAACGAGATCCTCTTCAATTCATGCTAACTTATATTCTGCTGAATTGGTGTTTGCTAAATGCAGGTATGCTGTTTTGTGGATCTCTAATCCTGTTCGCAAAATAATCACAATAACGAGGCAGATAAACATTAAACATGGAACATTATTTTCTGTTAACTTAGAAAGAAGAGCGTTCAGTGGGTGGAGAAAAGCAAAATACATTAATACTGTATGTCTGCAAAGAGAAGAGATATCCAATACTCAAATCTGTAGTGTGTTCTACTGCAGAAACACTTGCTTCTTCCTCTTGCAAATATTGTTGCAGTCAAGATACTCCATATTATACCATTCCATAAAGTTTTACTTTAAATAACTATCCCTGTCTTATACTGTAGTTTACAATTGCCATATTTGCTTATTGCATGTAAAACGCATCAAAGCCCTTTAAGTAAAATCACTGCAAATTAATGTAGGCATGCAATAATGTGACATGTCTTATGTAGAAAAGTTTAACAAGACCATGATAATATTGATAACTGTGATCATTTTGGTCACTATAATCATATTACAAAATGTTTTTTACACCGTTGCATCTCTAGTGTCCAGTTATTAAAGCTGATGCACATTTGAACATTTTATTCAACATTGTAACAAAAACACAGATACACAAAGTTTTATTGAAAAGTCAGTGTTAAGTAGAATGCTTTCACATCTTATTTTTGTCATTAAGGCTATTTCATGATGTTCAGTGGTGTATTGAAAGCTGCATGGGTCCCAGAAAGAGTGAATGCAGGGCTTCTTACTTCAACAGTCACAACAGTGCATACAAGTGCCATTATTATACTTATTAATGTTTTTTTACTATGAGAATGCAATAAAATCGTGCTTTTTAAAAACATTTTAAAAGCTTTTCAATTTATAACTTATAAAAAGTTAATGAAATAATTCAATCAACATTTCTCATGTCCATAATGCCCCTTTCTGCAAGAATTTTCTAGCATCAAGTCTACAATTACCATCTGATGCTTGAACTGGCGTTCAGTGCTGAGAATAGCTTTGAAAAGCCTGTCCTGGCTCATTGTGGTCAAACGACTTGTTTAAAAGCATCAAAGTGAAGCTGAAACGTACCAGCACATTAAATGATTTTGTTATTAGCAGCAAAAATAGTTGAAAATAGGCTAATATTTAATCTTTGGTCATACAGATAGTGTAAGACATTTTTGATACTGTGAAAATTCTAGATATTATGAGTGAGAAAGAGAGGGAGAGGGAACAAATAAGATGTGCTTTGAGGCATGCAGTTCTTATTTTAAATTTGGTTTTAGGTATTTAAGTGAAGAATTTCATGTACTATGTGGGATTTAATGCATTAGTGTACTCTCCTTGGTCATTAATTCAAATTGAACAATCATTTTATTCAGTTAATCATTGATTTAACAAACATCAGACATGGACTGAAATGAACCCTTACATTTGCATTATGCATGTCCTACATTCTGCTATGCCACTGATGATGTTACAACTTTACCTGGTTGAAATCATGTTATCTGACCCCAGGATTTGGTAACTAACACATACCATCAAGTGAACAAAAAAATGAACATTTTTAAAGATCATGGATGCTTTTTATGCTGATTTTTCAGTTACAATTCATATTGTAAAAAATTTTTTCTTATCTGGGGTTGGGCTGTGAAGTTGGGTCTGTTGAGGGAATATCCAACTTGATCTCTTGAGGGAACATAACTATTTTATGTATTTTCAGAAAAGTTTATGCTTTTTAAAAGGAAGCGGGAGCCTAACCCTGGAAAATAAGCAAATAATACTAAAAGAGATCATACAAATGATATGAATTAGCCACTAAATTAAAAAGTCAATGCTTCCCGTGAGATTGTGGGTGGACGGTCTCATATAGATGTTTTGCTGATCAGATGTTTCACACAAATAATTTTATTGCAATCAGTCTTCAAAAACAAGAATAAAATTCATTTTCCTTTAGCTAGTCCCTGATTTATCCTGATTACCCACAGGGGAATGAACCACCAACTATTTTGGCATTTATTTTTACATAGCAGATACCCTTCCAGCCACAATCCAGCTCTACACTAAGAAACACCAAATCTACACACAAACTTTAATTAATCCTTTACCATATGTCTTTGGACACTTTTGTTAAAATTAGGTTCTGTTCAGAGTTAAATGAGAAAACTAAACCACATGATTAAATACTAGATATTCATCTGCTTTATGATGGAGAATCAGACAATATAATCATAATGAATGTAGATTTTTAATGCAGATTTAATTATCATTTAACACATTGATTCAATTATCTTGTGCAATAGCAGTTCATTTTACAATTTGTGGTTTCATTACTCATGTACTTCAGTGTCAATAATCCAGATTTTTTTCCCCTGAGGATGGACAGACAAGGGGAATAAAGTCTTTACTGTAAAATCTATTTCTTATACTCAAAGCTTGTTTTTTTATAAATAAGAATAAAACAAAAAAAAAAAAAAAAAAAAACTAGGTCCACACACAAATACATTAACAATAATTTATTGACATCAGAAAGCAAGCATAAATCAGGAAACAGCAAACAAACACCTAGGACTTGACTTGTTGCAACAGCTTAAGCAACTTCCATGATGAATGCCTATTGCTTCCAGCAGGTCCAGGAGCATTTTGATCTGTGACAGTCTGATAATTCAACAGGACTGGAATTGGAAGTTCAGGTTTCACTGATTGTAACAACGACTTAAAGTTTGAAACTACTGGGGTACTCCAGGTTTGGGAACTTGATGGCACCACCGCTGAAGAGGTCTGCAATACAGGCTGGAATACAGTCTCAGAACTTGACACTACCTGAGGCTGATAGCTGGACTGCACTGGCAAAGCAGGGGATAAGCTGGAATGAGTGACAGACAGACTAGCTGGGAGCATTTGAGGCTGGGAAACAAACTGTACAGGAACAGAAGACACATGGCTAGGGAGAACTTGTGCCTCAAAGCTGGAAAGCTCCAGTTTGTTTGGCTTTACTATGGGCAAAAACAAATTTTGCCATAGCTTGGCTGGAGGCTGGTAGCTAGGCTGCTGCAATGGCCTTGAAGGATGACCAGTGGGCTGAGATACTAAAGTATAACTCACTGGTCCAGGCTTGGCATGAGACAAACCACTGGGTTGGATCTCTAGCACAACTGGCCGCTCACTTTGAAGCACAACAGACTGCAAGCTAGGATGTCCAGAAAGATGTGCTGGTCTGAAAGTAGATGTGAGGGGGCTAGGGACGTTTAAATCAGCAGGAATCGGGTCACTAGGCAAAACGGGCTTGATAACCTGAGCTGCGTTTGGAAGACTGTGTGAAGATGGAGAGTGATGCCTCCGCTTGTAACCATGCTGTGGTAGTTCATGGCATGAATAAAGTTTGGAGCCAATCTGATGAATCCCATGGGACTGCACTGGCTTGAAAAGGGTTTGCCCATTTTGGTTGACAACATACTCATAGTTGGACTGTCCTGCTTGCAGATGGCTTGGTTGGGATACAGATGAGCTGACCTGTGCTGGCTGTTGGACACCCAACTGAGTCACCAACTGGTAGCTAGCTGGTGCTGGTTGTTGGGAAGCAGGCTGGGTCTCTGATTCATAGATGGCTTCTACTAATTGTGGCACAGTGGGCTGGCTAGCAGACTGGTAGATTATTTGTGCTGGTTGTTGAACAAATTGAGGTCCAGACTGATTGATGGTTTGTACTGGTTTTAGGCTACTGGACTGATCTACAGAAGTAAATGTTAGTGTCTGGAGAGGACTAGTACTGGAAAGTTTAGACCCAAAGTGGGGTTTACCTTTGTGATGCTTGAGAGGAGTCGGTCCACCTGGCTGAGCCACAAAAACATAACTTCCATCTACTGGCTGAACATTATTTGACTGGGAAACCAATTGACCTCCTTGTAAAAGCTGCTGGCTGGAGACCTGGGCCACAGAGGTATCAACTGCCTGTTGAATCAGCTGGCTACTGGGCTGGACCACAGAGATGTCAATGACACTGGGAGTTTGTATGATGCCTGGTTGATTCACATTTTGGCCACTGGGCTGGGCTGATTGCTGGCTGTCTGACTGGCTCACAAGTTCATAGCTAGCCATAGCAAGGCTATCTGGCACACCACCATATTGTAATATTGATAAGCTGGGTTGTGAGGCTTTAGAAGGTTTTGAGCTGATTGGTGCATTGTGAACTGGCCTTGAACCAGTTTTATGGTGGTGTTTACCTTTCAGAGGTTTAAGGGGCCATCTACCAGATGGCACTGCAGACTGGAAGCTAGTCTGAAATATCTGTTGGCCACTGGGCAGGGACAACAGCAGAGGGCTAGACTGGGCTATGGTTCCAGAAGTTGCTGGTTGCTCATTGCTGGACTGGGAAATAGTTTGCACCAGCTGTTGGCTGCTGGGCTTCACCACAGACGTACTGCTAATTTGAAGTGGAATTGAGGAAACTACCTGCACTGGGTTAGAAACCGAATAACTGCTTTGCTGCAATGGGCTCAGGACAGAAGAACTGGTGACTTCAGAGCCTTGGACAGAAGTTGACTGACTTGAATCATATCCAGACATGCCCATATTCACCGCATTTCCCACAGAACCATAAACAAGACTACCAGTTCCAACTGAATCAACATGAAATCCTTGTTTGCTTGCAATATGAGAACCGGACCCTGGTTTTCCACTTGTCATCGGAGCGCCTGAAGATCCAGCCTGAGAGCTGTAGCTTCCCATCTCAAAGCCCCATTTATCTTTGCTGACTGGCCCAGCTACAACATTTCCACCATAAAAGTCAAGGACACTTTGTTTCACCTCCTGCATGGACTGGCTAGGATTATTAGATCCAAGATGGCCTCCACTGCTGCCAGGGCTGTATGCATAAACTACAAAAAGAAAAACCAATTAACAAAAACTGATTTCAAGAGTTCACACTTAGCTGATGATTGATAAGCAAGTTTGGCATGCTGTCCCGGGAGAGAGCCCTGAGCTCGAAGGTTCTTGAGCCCTGGGCTCTCTCCCGTTTGGAGGAAGAGAGGGGAGGCTTGAGCTCAGGTAGATCTCGACAACTCCCCCTTGATAAGAGCTGATGACTAAAAATTGAATGCTATTAAAAGATATGCTGCATTATGAGATTACCTGTTTTGCAAATTTAGATTTATCAATTTACTTGTGCATGTTTTTGGAATGTGGGAGGAAACCGGAGGACCCGGGGAAAACCTACGCAAGCATGGGAAGAACATGCAAACTACACACAGAAACAACCACCAGCCTGTTAAAGGACTAGAACCGGTTACATTCTTGCTGTGAGGCGACAGGGCAGCACGGTGGCCCAGTGACTAGCACTATGGAGGGAAAGGTGAGAAGGTAGGGGTGGAAGGAGGGATTCTTCAAATCGAAAGTGACTGTAGTGGAAAAAACCCTGGCTCTTTATAGTGGGTCAGGAATGGCCTGATTGGTCGATCATGCATGCTAATGCAGAACCAGCCGTGCTCAATCATAATCACGTGCTTCTCTCGAAATTAGTTTGAATAAACTGGCTTAATAATAATAATAATAATAATAATAATAATAATAATAATAAATAACCTACCAGTTGCAATATCATCGTAGTCACAAGCACCAAGGGCTAAAAGTACTGCTAAAGAGTAACTGCAAGAGATGAACATTCATTTTAATTACAAGGTAAATGGTAAAACACACAATTAAAAACCACAAGAAAAGCAACATACCTTAAAATCCACATTGTTGAAGCACACATAGTAAACCCAGTCAAAACAACCATCCAATTCCCTCAGCACAGAAGCTACAAACTAAAAGAAAAGCTTCACCAAACAATACAGTGCTACTTTTGATCTGGCCTTTTTATAGTGTGCAACTAGTTGGCTAGAAAATTGCCTCAGACCAATCGGTTGTCACAGAAATGTCTAATGGATCATTATTAGTTTCAGGTGTCAGTTGTTGCACGTTATTTTCATGGTATGTAATTTCATTAATACATTTATACAAACTAATAAGCTTTTTATGTCTTGGAAAGAGATAAACATATTCTGAAATGAAAACATATACTTTCTTGATTTAAAAAAAGTAAAAGAAAAACAAAGTATTTCACATAATAAATATATATATTTCTGGTTAACTGAATATCAGCAAAAGTCTGCAACAGGCTAATTTACTTAAAATGTGTGTAGTTATATTCAAAACGAGATCCTCTTCAATTCATGCTAACTTATATTCTGCTGAATTGGTGTTTGCTAAATGCAGGTATGCTGTTTTGTGGATCTCTAATCCTGTTTGCAACATAATCACAATAACGAGGCAGATAAACATTAAACATGGAACATTATTTTCTGTTAACTTAGAAAGAAGAGCGTTCAGTGGGTGGAGAAAAGCAAAAAACATTAATACTGTATGTCTGCAAAGAGAAGAGATTGCCAATACTCAAATCTGTAGTGTGTTCTACTGCAGAAACACTTGCTTCTTCCTCTTGCAAATATTGTTGCAGTCAAGATACTCCATATTATACCATTCCATAAAGTTTTACTTTAAATAACTATCCCTGTCTAATACTGTAGTTTACAATTGCCATATTTGCTTATTGCATGTAAAATGCATCACAGCCCTTTAAGTAAAATCACTGCAACTTAATGTAGGCATGCAATAATGTGACATGTCTTATGTAGAAAAGTTTAACAAGACCATGATAATATTGATAACTGTGATCATTTTGGTCACTATAATCATATTACAAAATGTTTTTTACACCGTTGCATCTCTAGTGTCCAGTTGTTGAAGCTGATGCACATTTGAACATTTTATTCAACATTGTAACAAAAACACAGATACACAAAGTTTTATGTAAAAGTCAGTGTTAAGTAGAATGCTTTCACATCTTATTTTTGTCATTAAGGCTATTTCATGATGTTCAGTGGTGTATTGAAAGCTGCATGGGTCCCAGAAAGAGTGAATGCAGGGCTTCTTACTTCAACAGTCACAACAGTGCATACAAGTGCCATTATTATACTTATTAATGTTTTTTTACTATGAGAATGCAATAAAATCGTGCTTTTTAAAAACATTTTAAAAGCTTTTTAATTTATGACTTATAAAAAGTTAATGAAATAATTCAATCAGCATTTCACATGTCCATAATGCCCCTTTCTGCAAGAATTTTCTAGCATCAAGTCTACAATTACCATCTGATGCGTGAGCTTTGAAAAGCCTGTCCTGGCTCATTGTGGTCAAACGACTTGTTTTAAAGCATTAAAGTGAAGCTGAAACTTACCAGCACATTAAATGATTTTGTCATTAACAGGAAAAATAGCTGAAAATTGGCTAATATTTTATCTTTGATCATACAGATAGTGTAAGACATTATTTGAAACTGGATATTCTGGTTATCTTATAGTCCGTTTCCACTGAGTGGTATGGTCCGGTTCAGTTTGGTATGCTTTTATGGCCGTTTCTACTGTCAAAAGGCGTACCAAACCGAACCGTACCTTACCACTTTTTCAACACCCTTTCGAAAGGGTACCAAACATGAGAAAGGGTACCTAAAGGCAGAGCTAGACGCGCAGCTGAATGCTATTGGTTTACAGAGATACGTCATTCGCTTAAGCAACAAGCCAGAATGAAAACAAAAAACCCGCCATGTTTGAAATACACAGCGAGAGATTACAGCGGACTTACATATATAATAAAGAGCCATGGTTGAGCCGGGCTCAAACAAACCTTGTCGTTGTTTTGATGAACAGCCACAAAGCCATGGAGTAGATCAGAATCTACCCTGTGCCTCATAGTTTTTTACGAGCCAGTCTGAAGCGCAAGTGGTTTCGCTTTCTTTCGAGCGCTCGCCACGCGTCTATATCTGAAATAACAAACTTCTTGAGCTGATGATAATAACATGTGCTTGATTATTGATGTGGTTTTGAAACCCGATGCTGTCAGATACTGACAAACGCGAGAGTTACCCGAAAAAAAAAGGAGAAGCCGGAAAAAAGGAGCACATTATTTCTTCAGCAAACATGAACAAACTGCCTTGTTTTAATTTTTATCATCACCTTTTGGACTAATAAAAACTTCGAATGATGAAATGACTCTCTAACAGAGGCTACACGTGCTGCTGAAAATTACAGACACAGAGGAGAGGTTTTCACTGACTGTAGGCTTTTTTGTGTGTTGTTTTGAACCTAATTAAGGACAAAATGCTTTGTGTAGTTTTTCTGTAGTTGGTAACATCGGTGACTGTAAGGGTCTGTATGTGTTCATACATGTTCAGAAGTGAGAAGTGAGAAGTGCTTTTCATATGATATGTGAGCAACCCGTATGGCTGTATTGTAGAAATTTCCTTGAGCGGGAATGATGCAACTGAAACTTTGTCATACACCACGCCCACCAAAAGGGTACCCTCGGTAGTGGAAACGCAAGCCTGATAAAGGTGACCCGTACCGACCCAAATAAGATGTTCTTTGAAGCATGCAGATTTATTTTAAATTTGGTTTTTAAGTATTTAAGTGAAGAATTTCATGTACTATATGGGATTTAATGCATTAGTGTATTCTCATTGGTCATTAATTCAAACTGAACAATCATTTTATTCAGTTAATGATTGATTTAACAAACATCAGAGATCGACTGAAATGAACACTAACAGCTGATTGCATTATGCATGTCCTACATTCTGCTATGCCACTGATAATGTTACAATGTACCCTGGTTGAAATCATAATGTTATCTGACCCCATGATTTGGTAACTAACGCATACTTTGGGGTGAACTAAAAAAAGAATTTAAAAAAAAAACATGGTTGCATTTAGAGCTAATTTTTAGGTTACACGTCATATTGCAAAAAATGTGTCCTTATCTGTGGTTGGGCTGTGGAGCCTGGTCTGTTGTGGAATATCCAGCTACTGTAGATCTCATGAGGAAAACATAACTATTTTATGTACTGTTAGAAAAGTGTATGCTTTTTAAATGGAAGCAGGTCCCTAAACCCCACCCCTAACCGGAAGATGAGCAAATCATACTAAAAGAGATCACACAAATGATATGAATTAGCCACTAAATCAAAAGGTTAATACTTATCATGAGATTTTGGTGGGACAGTCTCATGTTGATGTTTTGCTGATCAGACTTATCACTCAAAATTAATTTTATAGCACTCAAAAGCACTTCAAAAACAAGAATAATATTCATTTATTTTCCTTTGGCTAGTCCTTAATTTAATAGGGATAACCCACAGGGAATGAACCACCAACTACTTTGGCATATATTTTACACAGCAGATACCCTTCCAGCCACAAACCAGCACTACGTTAGAGATCACCAATCTGCATGCCACCACTCACACTTTTTCCACACACTCTTTAGTTAATCCTTTACCACATGTCTTTGGACACTTGTCAATACATGTTCTGTTTAGATTTAAAATAAAACTTAAGAACCACATGAAAAAAAAAAAAAAAAAAAAAAAAGTTTTACACAAGTAGATTTTAAAGCTGAATTAATCATCAATAAACACATTAAATCAAGCATCGTATATGTAGCATATAAATAGCAGTGCATTTAACAATTTATGGTTACATTACTCATGTATTTTGTCAGTACATTGGATTTTTTTTTGTCCTAAGAAGGGAAATAAAGTTTCTGTAAAATTGATTTTTCTTAAATTTTGAATGTTCAATTTTTCTCAGAAGCAGTTAAGTTTGAAACTTTATAATAAATTTAAAAAAAAAAAAAATATCCATACACAAATAAGTCCACAATAATTTATTAACAACAAAGCAAGCATACATCAGGAAACAGCAAACAAACACCTAGGACTTCACTTGTTGCAACAGCTTAAGCAACTTCCATGATGAATGCCTATTGCTTCCAGCAGGTCCAGGAGCATTTTGATCTGTGACAGTCTGATAATTCAACTGGACTGGAATTGGAAGTTCAGGTTTCACTGACTGTAACACAGACTCAAAGTTTGACACTACTGGGATACTCCAGGTTTGGGAAATTGATGGCACCACCGCTGAAGAGGTCTGCAATACAGGCTGGAATACAGTCTCAGAACTTGACACTACTTGAGGTTGATTGCTGGACTGCACTGGCACAGCCGGGGAAGAGCTGGATTGAGTGATAGACAGACTAGCGGGGAGCATTTGAGGCTGGGAAACAAACTGTACAGGAACAGAAGACACATGGCTAGGGAGAACTTGCGCCTCAAAGATGGAATACTCCAGTTTGTTTGGCTTTACTATGGGCAAAAACAGATATTGCCATAGCTTGGTTGGAGGCTGGGAGTTAGGCAGCTGCAATGGCCTTGAAGGATGACCAGTGGGCAGAGATACTAAAGTATAACTCACTGGTCCAGGCTTGGCAAGAGACAAACCACTGGGTTGGACCTCAAGCACACCTGGCTGTTCACTTTGAAGCACTACAGACTGCAAGCTAGGATGTCTAGGCAGATCTGCTGGTCTGAAAGTAGATGTGAGGGGGCTAGGGAAGTTGACATCCACAGGAATCGGGTCACTAGGCAAAATAACAGGCTTGATAACCTGAGCAAGGTTTGGAATACTGTGTGAAGATGGAGAGTGATGTCTCCGCTTGTAACCGTGCTTTGGTAGCTCTTGGCATGAATACAGTTTGGAGCCAGTCTGATGAATCTTATGGGACTGCACTGGCTTGAAAAGGGTTTGCCCATTCTGGTTGACAACATACTCATAGTTAAATGGTCCTGGTTGCAGATGGCCTAAAGATGAGCCGACCTGTGCTGGCTGTTGGACACCTAGCCGTTCCACCAACTGGTAGCTAGCTTGTGCTGGTTGTTGGGAAGCAGACTGGTAGATGGCTTCTACTAGGTGTGGCACAGTGGGCTGGCTAGCAGACTGGTAGACCATTCGTGCTGGTTGTTGAACAACAGACCAGGGCCCAAACTGGTAATTGGCTTGTCCTTGCTGCTGGGAAGTAGGCTGAGCCTCTGACTGGTAACTACCCTGTACCAGTGTCTGCCATTTGGATGGAGGTGAAGATTGGTAGTTGGCTTGTACTGGCAGTTGAAGAACTGCTTGGGGCCCAGATTGGTAGATGGTTTGTACTGGTATTTGGCTACTGGACTGATCTACAGAAGTAAATGTAAGTGCCTGAAGAGGACTATTACTGGAAGGCTTTGACCCAGAGTGAGGTTTACCTTTGTGATGCTTGAGAGGAGTCACTCCATTGGGCTGTGCCACAAAAACATAACTTCCATCAACCACATCTACATTATTTGACTGGGAAACAGATTGACTGCCCTGTAAAAGCTGCTGGCTGGAGACCTGGGCCACAGAGGCATCAACTGCCTGTTGAATCAGCTGGCTACTGGGCTGGACCACAGAGATGTCAATGACACTGGGAGTTTGTATGATTCCTGGTTGATTCACAGTTTGGCCACTGGACTGGGCTGATTGCTGGCTGCCTGACTGGCTCACAAGTTCATAGCCAGCCATTGCTTGGCTACTTGGCACACTACCATACTGTAGTATCGATAAGCTAGGTTGTGAGGCTTTGGAAGGTTTCGAGCTGATGGGCACATTGTGACCTGGCCTGGAACCAGTTTGATGGTGGGGTTTGCCTTTCAGAGGCTTACGGGGCCTTTTACCCGATGGCACTGCAGACTGGAAGCTAGTCTGAGATATTTGTTGGCCACTGGGCAGGGATAACTGCAAAGTGTTAGACTGGGCCATGGTTCCAGAACTCGCCGGTTGCTCATTGCTGGACTGGAAAATGGTCTGCACTAATTGTTGGCTGCTGGGCTTAACCACAGATGTACTGCTAATTTGAAGTGGATTTGAGGAAACTACCTGCACTGGCTTAGAAACAGAACTGCTTTGCTGCAATGGGCTCAGGACAGAAGAACTGATGACTTCAGCGCCTTGGACAGTGGTTGACTGACTTGTATCATATCCAGACATGCCCATACTCACTGCATTTCCCACAGAGCCAGGAACAAGACTACCACTTCCAACCGAATCAACTTGAAATCCTTGTTGGCTTGTATGCGATTCGGAGCCTGGTTTTTCACTTATCATGGGAGTGCCTGAAGAGCCAGCCTGAGAGTTATAGGTAGTGTCAAAGCCCCATTTAACTGTATCCTTGCTGACTGGTCCAGATACATCAGTCAAGCCATAAAAATTAGAGAGACTTGGTTTCACTTCCTGCTTGGACTGACCAGGATCATTAGATACAGGATTGACTCCACTGCTACCAGGGCTGTAGGCATAGACTACAAGAGGAAAACAAGCAATTAAAGCAAACAAATCAAGTTAAAATAATGCTGGGAAAAAAAAAAAAACAAATAAACCTTACCAGTTGCAATACCATCATCGTCATCACATGCACCAAGGGCTAAAAGTACTGCTAAGGAATAACTGCAAAAGAGAAAGTCATTTTTAAAACAAGTTAAATAGTAAAACGTAATTAAGAACCAAAGCAAAACAACATACCTTAAAATCCACATTGTTGTAGCACGCATAGCAACCAAAGCCAAAACAACCATCCACTACCCTCAGCACATCAGCTGCAAAATACAAAGAAAAATTTCACCAAACCATGCAGTATTAGTCTTAAACTGGCCTTCTTATAGTTTGTGCGCTACCAGTCAGTTGGCTAGATTATTGCCTCAGTCCAATCAATTGTCACAGGAATGTCTAATGGATCATCATTAGTTTCAGGTGGCAACTGTTGCACGTTATTTACATGGTATGTAATTTAATTTATACATTTAAAGCTTTTTATGTCTTGGAAGAGAGATAAACACATTCTTAAATGAAAATGCATACTTTCTTCATTAAATAAAGAAAAGAGTAAAAAGTTCTGGTTAACTGAATGTCAGCAAAAGTCTGCAATTGGCCCGTTTACTTCAAATGTGTGTAGCTATATTCAAAATGAGACCCTCTTTAGCTTTTGCTAACAAATATTCAGCGGAATTGGTGTTTGCTAAATAGCTATGCTGTTTCGTGGATCTAATGAAAGAATCCAATTTCACATTTAAAAATGTCCACAATGCATCTTTTTTTCAAGCATTTTTCTGAACAAAGTTCTCAATGCCTAAATTTGCCATCTGATGTGCGAACTGGCTTTCAGTGCTGAGAATAGCTTTGAAAAGCCTGTCCTGGATCACTGTGATCAAACAACTTGATTAAAAGAGTCAAAGTGAAACAGAAACTTACCAGCACAGTAAATGATTTTGTCATTAGCAGCAAAAATAGTTGAAAATAGGCTAATATTTTATCTTTGGTCATACAAATAGTGTAAGACATTATTTGGAACTGTGGTTATTCTGGTTATTCTAGTTATGAGTGAGAGAGAGGGAGAGGGAACAAATAAGACATGTTTTGAGGCTTACAATACTTATTTTAAATTTGGTTTGGTTATGTATTTAAGTGAAACATGTACTATATGGGATTTAATGCATTAGTGTATTCGCATTGGTCATTAATTCAAATTTAACAATCATTTTATTCAGTTAATGATTGATTTAACAAACATCAGAGATCGACTGAAATGAACCCTAACATTTGCATTATGCATGTCCTACATTCTGCTATGCCACCGATGATGGTTACAACTTACCCTGGTTGAAATCATAATGTTATCTGACCCCATGATATGTTACAACTGACACATGCCATGGGGTGAACTAAAAAAAAGAACATCTTTAAAGAAAATGGTTGCATTTCATGCTGATTTTTCAGTTACAATTTATATTGCAAAAAATGTTTTCTTATCTGGGGTTGGGCTGTGGAGTTGGATCTGTTGTGGAATGTCCAGCTAGATCTCGGGCCTGTTTTAGAAAAGAGCTTAAGTGAAAACTCAGAGTATTTTAACCGTGGAATGAGAGATCTCTGGGTTTTCAGTTTCAAAATGGCAGGTTTGTCAAACTCAAGAAAGCAGGGTGAGTCAAGCCTGTTTTTGAAAGAGAGGTAACTTTAACTCAGACTCAGTTACTCTGGTAACTTACCCTGTGAACCTAACCTGGTCAGGAGCAGGTTTTATTCTCTAATCTCTCAGTTTCTATTTCTTTAAAGACGAAGCTGTATTTCTCGCCTTAGACTTAAATTTCTACCCACCTATTTGATGCTCATTTTGGAGATGTGCATAAAAATGATTGATGAAAACTTCATGATGCTCATAACTTTTAAAAATATGCATAAAAAATGTGCATAACTGAGTAGGATAAACATTTATTCGATAAGAAAATATGTGCATAAACTGCGAGGGAAACACTTTTACTGAACAAATTCCAATATGTGCTTAAAAAAAAAGGTTTATTATAAGAGATCATATGATGATGAAAATGTCTGTGAATGGATTAACCAGTAGGCTGAGCACACTGCAACACATCTGAAATGTTGTTTTGTTGTTTATAAAACACCTTAACCGTTTCAGTATTATTGTACAATATTATTAATTACCTCCAGAGCACCTGGGGCCTCATGTACGAAGACTTGCATGGAAATCATACTAAAACATTGCGTATGCACTAAGCTGTAAAAGTGTGTATGCAGAAAAAAATTCAGATGTATGAAACACTGCGTACACTGAATCTCACGCATATTCTGTTTGTACATCTAAATGAACGTGAAACTGAGCGCAACATGCACGAGCACAAAACCTCTCCCTGCCTCCGCCCCCGTATAAATATGCTAATGACTCTACTTTGGCAAAACCCAACGAAAAGGCAATGGCAAAATCAAGCAAAAAGAGAAAGAAAAAAATAGTTTTTTTTTTTTTATAGTGGGGAGAGTTTTTTTATAGTGGGGAGAGTTTTTTTTTATAGTTGGGAGAGTTTAGCTGATGCGGTTAACACAGTTGGGTCTGAACAATGCACTGAGTGGATTAAAAAGAAATAGTGAGATCTATAGGTGTAAAATTGTATAGTACCTTCAACAGCCTAAGTAGCGCAGCTCATTAAACCCATGGCAACATTTTTTGACACATTCAAGCATAAACTCAGTTCGAATCCAGCGGCTAAAGAACTTACTCTTTTTTTTCCCCCCGCTACATATCAGATTTTGCCTATATACTCTTTATCATGAGAAAGACAAGTAGGAATCATTAATAAGTCTGTGCATCAAATTTAATTTGCACGTTTATTGAATGTAAATGTTTCTGATTCACGTATGCCAGTTCATCCTCAGATGGTGCCTTTATAGAAATATGTGTGCAGTAGATCGCTCTGATTACATTGGGAAAACCGGCGACCGCTGCAAATTGCGCTTTAATGTTTGCATGGTCAACTGTATGGTACGGAAACCTTATATACTAGACATGCGGATGAACCCGTCTCACACTTTGTAGAGTGCAATTTAACACAACTGCCTCTAGGAGTCGCCAATGGAAATAAAACAGACACGCAAAAAAAATGTGCGTACGCCAGCCATAAAGCTGGTAGGGAGCTGCGCAAATTCCCACGTTCAGTTCATCGTTAGTAAATCCAAACGTGAGCGATTCTCAGGGTGAAATCTAGCATGCGCAAAGTTTTTGTGCGTACGCAGCGTTGATACATGAGGCCCCTTGAGCGTGTCAAGAGTGTCTGATCATCGCATCTCATGGCTTCAAACAACCCCACGTGTTCATTGAGTGTCAGCATTGTCTTCTGAGACGCAAGTACATTTATTAAACAAAGAAAAGATTGATGCAGCTTCTTCTACCGCAGTAAATTCTGTTTTTACTGTTGATATTTGGTGCCAGTTATTCAGGAAGTGACGATGTTGTTCTTTTTGATTCATTGGATGGAAACGCTGCTTTATTCGCACATCTTTTATGCGTTAGGCTATTCCAGTTTTGCACATAAATTTAATTCATATTGTTGGATGGACACATAGCTATTGCCTACATTTCAGTCACACAAAGAACAAATTCACATACAAGAATGGCTTGTCCTTTTTTAATAAATAATTAGCCAAAATTGACTGAACCTTGACATGTACTGTAAGTTGATTAATGGGATTTTTACTCGTTCTAAAAACTATTGTTTAGTTCTGCTTACATTCTAAATGTCATATCAACCTCTATCACTTGATCAACAATAGAGGCAGACACACAAGTGCACTTTTAAATCTAATAAAACTGATCAACAGGTATAAAAGTAGGAATGTGTGTAAAAATGTTATAAACTTCACACATAACATTACTTATTTTACCATGCTTAAATATTTAAATACTTCAAGTGTAAAATTCCGCATTAACTTAAGCAGCTGTTTCCCTACGCTATCTTTCTCTGTTTCACTGATGCAGTGGTGTTGCTTGTTAAAATATAACCTCAAACCCCACCCCTAACCCACACTGGAAGATGAGCAAATCATACTAAAAGAGATCACACAAATGATATGAATTAGCCACTAAATCAAAAGGTCAATAGAGTGGAGGAACTATGACGTCATTTTTTTAGGCACATCGGCTGCTAGCATAAAACTGGTTCCCTCAATAAATTCCCTATAGGATTTTCCTATAGGCTTTTCGAAGATTGTGAATAATAAGCTCTGTGTTCAAACACTGTTCATTACACTTACACGTTTTGTCAAGCCGGATAATCCTCACACGGAAATACAATTTTGAGCACTTTTGGTTAACTGCAAACGCGAGAACTAAATGCTATCATTAGGCTATAAAGGGACTACACTGCCCTCGGGGTGCTCGTCTGTGACGTCAGCACCACCCTGCTATAGACAACTTTTCAAGCTTATTTTTAGAAATATGCTCCATTACAAAGAGTTAATCTCTTTGTTTATTATATTATAATCCACATTGTATATTATACACAAATAAATATGCAAAAACACATAGACCTGCGTGCCTTTTGGATAGTTTTCATGTGGGAAATACATCTGTTTTGCTTTACGGTTGTTGTAAAAGTTTTAAAACTGTATGTATAAATGTGCCAACATAGCATCAGACATATTCAAATGAGTGTAATGTTATTGCTCGCATGCACACAGCCAGCTTACCTTAACAGACAACAGAAATGAGGCGTGAGGAACAAGTCTATCAAATGCCTGCAAGTTCCATCATGGATCAAGAACAACATTCAATATTCTTTTTTTTGTCCTGAAGTGCAGGGAAAAGCAGCCTATACAGTCACATATGCTATATGTTTTATGAAGGAGTGTAAATATTGCAGTTTTGACAGTTAAATATGTTCAGATGAAGAAAAACTCAATGAAAAATCTATTGATCATAGTGAAATTACGTTAATATGTGTTTTTTTTTTACACATTTATTCACGTTTGCATTGCTGAGAGCAGGAAAGAGAATAAAAGAGAGAGAATCTGTAAATAAAAAGAGAATCTGTCTCGACAACCTTTACATGTGAAGGCACTATCTACACACAATATGAATTCCCAATTAGAAAAATACTACAAATTATAAAACACTATTCATGAAAATACTTAAATCACAAATCCAAATTACCAACACAAGCGAGCTGCGCTCCAGACCAGTTCAGCTCGATAACGTATAATGCCTCCGACACAGCCTGTAGTCCCATTTAGCAACTTGATTAAAGTCTTTTTAAAGAAGCATAACCGATTAATAAAAAATCAAGTGTAATATAACTGATGTGTTTTATGCTGTAGAATAAAATGTGAAAGTATCTTGAGTT